GGTGGAAGTCTCAAAGGATGAAATGGAGGTGGACAAAGGTAGAATGGAGATGGCCAAGGTAGAATGGAGATGGCCAAGGTGGAATGGAGATGGCCAAGGTGGCCGGCTGTGCTGGCCGCGGATGAAGACATCCCGGTCGCGGTAGGACGCGCGCTGGCCACGGTTGAAGACATTGCGGCCGCGGTAAAACACCTGCTGGCCGCGGCCGAACCTCCTTTGGTCGCGGTCAGCTCCTTTTCTTCTCTCTCTCTCTCTTTTTTTTATGGTATAGTAAGGCCTGTCTAAAATAAGAAAAACAAAGCTTTTAATCGAAAAAGAAAGCTTAAGCAAACACAAATAAGTACCTAAAATGGGTTGCCTCCCATCAAGCGCTTTGGTTTATAGTCTTTAGGTATACTTTGCAAAGAAAAAGACTTAGTTCAAATAGGATCTTGTCCTAAGACAAGTCCTTTTCAAAATCTTTCTGTTCTGTCTAGCAGGTTCTTCATCACTCCAGAGTTCTTCTGGTTCAAATGCCTGGGCTCTTTGCTCTCCTCTTTTGCTCTTAAGTGGTGTAGCTTCATAGAAGATGTCCTTGTCGATATTGGCAAAAGAAACTCGCCTGTTGGGCCAATCCATGATGGCTCCAGCAGTTGCTAAGAAAGGCCATCCAAGAATAACTGGATTAGAGTCATCTTTGGTCTTTACTATGTATAAATCGACAGGTGCAATGCAATCCCCAATCCTTAGAGGAATGTCTCGGGCTATCCCTCTTGGTGTTGCACTTGAATCATCTGCTTAGCTAATCTTTTTCCTGGTACTTGAGATGTGCTTAATGCCAAGTCTCAAAGCAGTTGCTTTGGACATCATGTTAATGCAAGCTCCAAAATCACAAAGAATATTGAGGAATCTTTCACCTCTAGTGTCACAAAAGATAAGAAATTGACCTTTGTCTTGAAATTTGTGCAGAGTTCAAACTGGTCTTTCCTGTGGATGATCTGGTGCCTCAAATGCAGAATAAGAATCACAATAGAACTTGGCAGCATCGAACTCGATGATTGAATCTATGTATGGCATTTCAATTCTATTAGGTAATTCATCCTCCACATCTATGACATCTGGTTCTTCATCTGTGATCTTCATGCATGGGATGTAAGAGTCATGCTCCTCTAGTTCCTCAGGCTCTCGGTGATGCAGACTTGGAGTGAGATGGCGGTTCCCAGCGGGTGGAGACGTCGCATCCGCGGCTGAGAAGGATCCGGCCGCAGGTGAAACTCTCGCGGCCGTGGTGAGGATGGGCTTGGCCGCGGCTGAAGTCCTCGCGGCCGCGGTAAGGAACTCCGAAGGTTGCTCAGCTGCTTCTCCTTCTTTCTCTTCCAGGATGTCTTCAGGGTTATTCTGGGTGTCCATTATGGGATCTCCTGAATCAGAATTGGTTGGTTCTTCTTCTTTTTGCTGACCATGAACATGAGAATCCTTCTCATGATTCTCAAAGATCTTCCTCACAACAAGGTTGGTGTCTCTTTGGCACTTAGAGAGATGCTTGATGTCAGAACTAGTTTCCATGCTCTTGTGCTCAAGCTTGCTCAGGCGAAATTCACTCTCTTGAGTTCACCATCTGTCTTTCCTCTGTACCATGAAGCGATTTTGTTGGACTCCTTGATCTCTAGCTTAGCAGCTTTGGCATCGATGGATCCTTGAAGGATATCATACTTCTGCCTTGGCTGCTCTTCCTCAAAAGTATCTATCTTCTTTTTTAGGGAAGCAATGTCTTGAGAGTGCAGATCTTCTAGCGATTTCACATGGTGAGTGAGGTCATCGATCCTCTTGTACAGGGTAGCCTCCGTAACAACTTGAAAATCAAGGTATTGATTTAGCATAGCTCCTAATGGACTCAGTTGGAGCCTAAATTGATCAGCCTCAGCGTGTTGGTGCAGAATCTGATGAGGAAGAGGATCAGATGGTCGAGGGTTCACCAGGTGTGGCGAATAAGGCTCATCTCGGTGGTGTGGAGGTCGCGAGTCTCCATGATGGTGGTTCAGATTAGGGTTCTGAAGATGATGATCAAAATCACGTCTGAAGGGTGATTCGCATGCGCATGGAGCTTCACACAGGTCGCAGGACCTTCGCTCAGGGTTAGTGTTTCTCCTTGAATGATCCATGCTTCAAAGGTTTCTGAAACAAGGGCAAACAGAAGATAGAATAAGTAGAAAAAAGAAAAAGTTAGGGTGTTTATGAATTTGGTTTACTTCCTATATTGCTTTGGCAGAAACTCGACATATATATAGTCGTCTGCGACTTCAACCTCCCAGGTTTAGAATTCCAGCGACTTCATGCCTCCTCGGCAACGGCGCCAAAAACTTGATGGGCTTGCGGGCCTAGGGTTGTTTTTTAACAAGCCTGTTGGCACGCCTTAAGTTTTAAATTTATAAAACCCTAGTGTCTGCAAGTGCACAGATGTACGTTGTAGGACTTAGGATGTCGATCCACAGGGAGGATGTCTAATCTGCAAGAAACAACAAACTGGGAAGTAAGCAAACTCATAAAAACGAATAAAAGTTTGGGGTTTTTGGTTAAGATCCTAAACTAAACCTAATCTAGTATTCACAAGAAATGCAGTGCAGGATGAATTGTTAAAAGAACATCTAAAGCATATCGACTCAAAATAAAGACTCTTAAACTCATAGGTGGCGATTTAAACTTCTCCGGTTTACTTTAATCGATGTATGGTGGCATTTCCAATTAGCTTCCGGGCGATTTATCTTCATATGTTTCTGGGAATCTGCATTGAACTAGAATAGACCATGTATGATTAACCAACTGTCGTCACCTTAATCAACTAATCTCTTAGATCTAGCAATTAGCTCTCATGCTAAACTTAAGATCATGCATTGGACATTGAATTCGTCTGCTCACATCTTCTCTATAGGTAGCTTTTTGACTCCTATAGCGACTATGTTCTTCTGAAGCTAGGTATGGATGATTTGATACAGCACTCTCGTGGCTTTGATCGATCCTAAGCTCAGAGAATATGTCATGAATCTACTCTCATGATTTATGAATAACTTAGAAGAGATGAGATCCATAATATGGCTAAGAACAATAGAAATCCTAATCGATATATATGCTTGTCGATATCTTCAAACAACTTGACTCTCTGGGACTAATCTACATGATGCAATGAATGATAAAAGACATAGAAGAATGCAAAATAATGAAACAGAAAAGTTAATAAGATAAAAAGGACGAAGAACAATGGATCTCGGGAAGAATCCCCATCTCCATCGTCTAACCCTTGAAAAACAAAGTTTAGTGGCTCAAAATCTCATTACAGAAGCACACACCCGTTTAGGGCTGCTAAACAATGTATTTATAGATCCTAAGGTCTTCCAGCTCTCATTTAGGGCTTCTCTGAAGAGAAATGGCGAAGTGGGCTTTGATGTTGGGCCTTGTGGCTCGTCCTAAGGTCCACTGGGGGTGAGAGTCTTCCAGGGCACATAAAACATGTGTTTCCCGCGGGTGAGAGTCTTCAGAGACTAGTGAACTGGGTCAACTTGTTCTCAATGTATCTTTTGATTGCACCGTTGGATCTTTGTGATGTAAAGTGATATGGAAAGAGGGTTGTCGCCTCTTGATTGTCTCCAAATTTGAGCAGAATCGGACGGTGAGAAAGTCTTCATTTGAGGCTGAACTTGTGACGGTTTGACTCTGAGCTAAAAATGTGGATTTCTTCCATTTTGCCATCATATTCCCTAAGTTTCCTGAAAAGAGCCTTGAAACTACAAATACATGGAAATCATAATAAAAGTTCCTAAAAAAAAAGTAAAACCTTTGAAAAAGCATTTGAAATCAATGGTGAAAAGTGGTCGGTTTTCACTCCAAGTGGTTAAACCATCTCGAGAATGACCAAGTACCAGAGAAGAACCGATTTCGCAAGAGAAATCAGTTGTTCGTCGAACATGGGCCGAGCCCCCACATGAGAAAAGTGGGTCGAGCTGTACTCAACAATACAAATGGGCCAAGCCGTGAAGAGGGGCAAGTAGGCCGAGCCATGGGAAGGACGTTCAGTGGGCCGAGCTGTGCAAAAGAAAGAATGGACCGAGCTGGTTCTTCTTGGATGGGCCAAACCGAGGTCATGAAGGACGTAAGCCCATATGGCGGTGGCCGCACGAAGCGATAAGGAAATATTCTGAAAATCTCTCCCGAGATTCTCGGCTAGGCGGTTTAGAGAAATAGTATAAATAGACGATGTATGAGATTCATTATGTAACTTTTCAAAACTCGAAAATAATAACACAAAACACTTTTCCAGCAAAAAACATTCTTTTGATTTCACTGTTCTTGCGATAAACACTAGAGATTTTGGATCCCTTAAATTTTTGGTTCAACACACTGCTGTTTTGGCTCACACACTGCTGTTTTCCATATTGATTATTGAATCCCCGTAAGTTGATAGTTGTTTGGTTGCCACGGCTAGAAAGCTCAATTTCCTCCAAAATTTCCATTTTGAAACTTGTTTTAGAATGGTCTTTGCTGCGGTGGGTATTCCTGGTCCTGAGGGTTCTCTATATTTAGATTCGGGTAAAAGAGATTGTTGAAGTTGGCATTTCGGAAGTTGTTGTTGAAACCATTGTTGAAACGGTTCGGATAAGGTGCTTGTGCTCCTACATAGTTCACTTCTTCTTCCTAAAGGGTTGGATTAGTGTGATCGGTCTCACAAAATCCTTCATCTTCTGCGCCATTGTCTGTCTCACAGGCATGGATTGGGCGGTTATGGCTCTTTAGAAGTTGGCTCATCAAGTTCTTCAATTTGGTTATCTCTATTATCTGTTCCAGCCGGCCTTGTCGAATGCTCATATTCCGGACCGACATTGCTATTGGCTTGAGCTAAATTCTCGACGAGGGCTCTTCCTTGTGTTATAGTCATTCGTCTGAAATCTCCATTGCAGGCTGTATCGAGTGAAAGTTTGTACTTTGGTTGTAAACCTCTGTCGAATGTGCTCAGCAGGCTTGATCCGGGAAATCCATGGTGGGGGCAGTCTCGCTCATACTCTTTAAAACGTTCCCAAGCTTCATAAAAAGACTCGACCGGTCCTTGCTGGAAACTTTGGATTTTGTTTCTCAATAGGTTCGACCTTGACTTAGTATAGAAGTGGTTCAGGAAAGCAGTTTTAGATTCTTCCCAATTGGTGATCGATCCTGCCGGCAAAGATTTCAACCAACGGTGAGCTTTATCTGCTAATGAAAAAGGGAACAACTTACACTTAAGATAATCTGCAGGAACCTGGTTTATTCCCATCATGCTCCAGATTTCTTCAAAGAGATCAATGTGATCCACCGGATGTTCGGAAGGAACTCCATGGAATTGGTTTGTTTCACCAAAGAGATTATTTGAGGCTTGACTTCAAACTCTTTCCGGTTCGGGAATGGTACTTGATTCGCAGATCAATTCTGGAAGTTCTGAGTTGGTGAATCAAAGTCAGATATGCGATGGTTCCTGTCTTGTTTTCGGTGTTGGTTTTCTGGCTGAATAGGCGGTTATTGCGTCCATTCGGCTGCATCTCCTGGTTGTTACCATCGGCTACATTGATAGGTGCATCAAGATCTTTGTGTTCTTCTCTCTCTCGGTTTTGAGGGTTTCTTGGAGGGATCTGGTTTTCTTCTCCATCTTGCCGAGGTTGATCACCTAATCTGTGATCATCCTCTCCATTATCACCATGCTCGAATCCATCTTGATCCGCATTTTAGTTACGGTTCACAGATCTCCAGGCTGGTCATCGTCGGCCATTCCTTGCATCGTCTAAATCTTCGAAGTTCTCTTTTGTGTCTGTAAATCTCGTCTAGAATTGGAATGTTTTCTGCAGGGTTGCACCTGGTATTCATACAATACAGAGAAAAACAAAAGAAGAGAAAGAGATTTCAGCAACTTAAGAAGGAACTAGAGATCAGATGTCTAGAACAAAAATTAGAATAAGAAAAATAAAAAGGACAGCAAAACGAATTCCCGGCAACGGGGCCAAAAACTTGATGTGCTTGTGGTGAGGGAACAAGTTTTACCGTAATCTAAACACAAATCAAAGCCGCAAGTGCACAGCTAATCAGTTCTAGTACTTAGGGATCGAATCCACAGGGATTTGTGGGCCTAAAATTTTTCTATGGTTTTTATGTTTATTTCTGGACTAAATCGGGTTTTAAGGCGTCTGTGTGTGATAGGGATTAAACTAAAACTAAAAAGAGAAAATAAATATATCATATAAAGCAAGCAGACAATCAAATGAAAGCAAAATGAAACTAGCAGGACTTCGAACAAGTGAAAATGTGAATCTAAAGGAAGCAAATGTAAATCGATTAAGTTGTAAACAATGATTAAAACGCTGGACTTTCTAGAACTCTAGAGGAATCATAACCATTTTCAACACCAGAAATTTTAGATTGGGATTGACGGATATCAAAATATCTAGGGTTCTAGAGCTAGAGTACGGCGGTATTACTATGTCACCGTCGTGATCATAACCAACTGTCTTTCACAACCCTGATAGTAGGTTTCCACTTTTGCCCTGGAATGGAGGAGACGCAGAAGCTTGTACAGGACTCATCAATACCCACGACTTCGCCCCAGGTAGGTTTCCACTCCTACGGAAAAATCGCCCATTTCATTCTAGGTCGGATACTTAATGAAAACTTTCGCAACAATAACTATCTAGATCATACACGAGGTGATCAATCCAGCATACATGCATTGCGAATAAGAATAAACGGAGAACATAATTAAAATCCCAGATCTAAAAACCTAGATGTCTTATTTGATTATGAGAGCCCCTTTCGGGAATCGTATGCCCAACTCGGGATCTACTCAGACATGGCTGAGGTCAACATCATCATTGGTTTTAAAGAAAGCAATCAAAAACAGTAAATAAAAGAGATGAAAGAAAGCTTCTCTATTTATGAACTCAAGGTTGAAGAATCCTCTCTAAAAATCGCATAAAACGGCTGAAAAAGGTGCCTCTGTAAAAAGTATGAAAGAGTGATATCTATATAGACCTAAACGACAAGTATTTATAGTCTTGAATACTCCAGGATCTCTAAGGTTCTGGAATTGAGCCTGGAAAATGACTTGGACTTCAGAAATGGGCTTCTTAAGTCGGAGATACCTGGCGGCAGTCGTGTGAAGCGTGACCGTGGGGAATAGGTGCTTGGCCGCGGTCGCGTGGCTCTGGCCGTGGTGAATAGCCTATTGGCCGCAGTCCCGTAGCTTGATGGCCGTCTTCGAAATGTCTCTAGGGTAAATGGAATATCTTGAGATCCAACCGTTTGAATGTCTCCAAGGCAAATGCATTGGAAAGCTGGTTGAGTCTTCTGTTAAGTATCCAGTTTTGGGGGTGATCGGACGGTGAGAAGGTCTTCGTCTCTCCATGAGATTTCTGACAGTTTTAATTTATCAAAAGAGTCTTTTTGTTCCAATTTGCACCTCTTTCTCCCAAATTACCTAAAAAATCATTTAAAATTCGAAAACATTGAAATCTTTTGAAAATCTTTGAAAATGGAGTAAAAACACCAACAAAAGATATTAAAGTAATCCATAAAAATAGTCAAAATCCGGTGTTATCACAATGCAAATTTCTTGGATTCAGGTATAACGTTAGAACCAATAACCTAGCTGAATCGATAAACTCTGCATTGAGATCACATAGAGTACTGATGTGCTACAAGGTGAGGGAACAAGTTTTACCCTTAATAAAAACAAATGAAAGTCGCAAGTGCACAGCTAATCAGTTGTAGTACTTAGGGATCGAATCCACAAGGATTTGTGTGCCTAGTATTTTTCTACGGTTTCTAAGTTTATGTCTAGACTAAATCGGTTTTAGGAATGGTTTTTTGTCACGGATTAAACTATAATTTTAAAAAACGAATGAACCGATCCTAAAAAGCAAGTAGAAAATCGAATAGAAGCAAATGAAACTATGACTAAAAACGCTAAGCTTTCGGGAACTCTACAGGGATCATAATCGGTTTCAGCACTAGGGATTTTAGATTGGGATTGACGGATTTTGAAATAGTATGGTTCTAGAGCTAGAGTTTGGCGGTATCACTACGTCACCGTCGTGATCATAACCAACTGTTTCTCGGAACCCTGACTATGTTTCCACTCTGGCCCTGGAGGGGAGAAAATGCAAGAACTGCACAAGACTCGTCAGTATTCACGATTTTGCCGCAGGCAGGTTTCCACTCCTACAGAAAAATCCCTTGTTTCATTCTAGGTCGGATACTTAATGAAAACTTTCGCAACACTAACTATCTAGATCATATACCAGGTGATCAATCAAGCATACATGCATTAAAGATGAGAATAAACAGAGAACATAGTTAAAATCCCAAATCTAAAAACCTAGTTGTCTCAATTGATTATGAGAGCCCCTTTCGGGAACCCTAAGCCCAACTCGGGATCTACTCAGCCATGGCTGAGATTGACATCATCATTGGTTTTAATGAAAGCAATCAAAAACAGTAAAGAAAAGAGATGAAAGAAAGCTTATCTATTGATGAACTCAGAGTTGAACAATCTTCTCTAAAAATCGCATAAAACGGCTGGAAAAAAAGGTTTCTATAAAGGTATGAAAGGTGATATCTAAAAACAACCTAAATGACAAGTATTTATAGTCATCAATACTCCAGGGTCTCTAGGGTTCCGAAATTAAGGCTGGGAAATGGCTTGGACTTCAGAAATGAGCTTTTTAAGTCAGAGATACCTGGCCGCAGTCGTGTGGGCTGCGACCGTGGGGAATGAAGGATTGGCTGCGGTCGCCTGGCTCTGGCCGCGGTGGATGGGCTGCTGGCTTCAGTCGCGTGGCTTGCTGGCCGTCTTCGAGTGTCTCCGGAGGAAAAAAATATTTTGAGATCCAACCGTTGGAATATCTCCAAACTAAGTGCATTTGAAAGCTGGTTGAGTCTTTTATTAGTTGCCCAATTTTGAGGGTGATCAGATGGTGAGAAGGTCTTCATCTCTCCATGAGAGTTCTGACAGTCGTCTGGGCTGCAAAACAGTAAGAGAGAGTGAAACTGTTAATAACCACAGTTTCCAGTCACTTTCTTCTTGCCATAAATCTCTGGTTTTCTTCCTCAGGTTTTCTCCTAACTCCCGCAGACTTAGTTTTTTGTCTATCTCTCAAAACCATAGCTCCGAATAATTTCGGCAATCTAAAACTCATTAGGCTTTTTGTTTCCTTTCTTTTCATTCATTTTTTTTTAAAGGGGAAACACCTTTAGATAGAGTTATAGAGAGCACAAAATTACCAGTAAAAATTAGTTCCCTGAGGCAATATAAAGCTTGATAAGGTTTCTGATACTCTTCCTTCCCAATTCCATTCAGTCTTTCTCTTGAGTGACTGAAAACTGCGTTGTTCCTCTTCTCTCCGACGTTTTTGCACATACATTCTGATATAAACTAAAGAGAGAATGCATGAGGTTTGAAAACAAGGGGTTTTGGTTTAGGGTATGGTACCAGATACAGATGAGCTGGCCATCTAGGACGACAAAGAGTGGTAAACATGAGGAAAAAGATGTCCTAGATGTATATCTCGATGCATGCCTATAATCAATGATGAGAAAATTACATATCAATATTAAGGTCAAATAAAATGAGCTAGTGTATCCTGTCAGAAAGAATCTCCATGAATAGAAATCCTCTGGTGGGAGTTCGTAGTGCAAGTACTTTAGCTACAGCCTAGTCTAGTGCTAACCACAAATGAGCTATCATGTGTAGTGTAGAAGCGTGCAGGTCTAAATCATCATAGTTTTGTGTCAAATATTCCTGAAAAATACTAAAGGTCGCATAGGTTACATATTAAAATTTAAAAAGTACTTGAAATTTAAAAACAAAGCAAGAAAATGATTAGTATGGATGGACATCCTCCCCTAAACTTAAATCACACTGTCCCCAATTTGAGAAAGTTGGTGAGAAGATGGTGAATAAAAACGATATAGTCTAAAATAAAATAAAAGAAAAGAAAACGAGATAAAACCGTGATGGTGGTGAAATGATGATGAAGTGCTGATCAGTCACTCTTCCTCTGATGTGTCTGCCTCGAATTGGTGCTGCTCCTGCAGGAAGGTGACGACGCGCTCACAATGTCT